AAGCCTCCAGTCGGGAAGCCTCCAGTCGGGAAGCCTCCAGTCGGGAAGCCTCCAGTCGGGAAGCCTCCAGTCGGGCGTGGACCTCGGGGGCCGCTGGGAGTGGGGGGAGCCACGTTGTCGCCTCCGCCCTGAGCAACAGGCGCAGCGACGGCCTGCTGAAGAGCAGTGACCGCCGCCAGCAGAGTGATGATACTGCGAGTCATCTTGACAAGTCAGATTGTGTACAGTACAGGTTGCGGGTGTGTACTCGGACTGTTCGAATTGGGGCCCTGAAAGAAATAGAGCTGAGACGCTTGGTGAATGAAGGTCTTGTCACAGGAGGTGGCCGGAGGGTGTTATATACTGGTTCTCTTCGGGGCCCTCGTCAGGGTCACAGAGCTATCCTCCTCACAGTCACTCCTGATTTCCTGGAGAGGTGCTCATTTCATCTCTAGGTAAGTCCTAAGGGCGATGCTCGGTCTTGGTCGAAGTGCTCCGGTGGCAGAGGACGCAATATTGCGCGACACATCCCTGGGATTGGTGATGCTGTCCCAGTCAACTCTGGGTCATGATCATCCTCGCCAACCATGCACCTGGAGATGTAGTTCTGGCCCACTTCGCGACGGCAAGTCAGAGTTGTGCAGATCAACTCTAATCCAAACGGAGCGGGGGTGTAACGAACGTTGCAAACCCGTAGATTCCTCGGCAGGCTAATAACGAACCAAAAGGGCGGTGGATGTCTGGTTTCTTGGCCATGGTCTCGGTTGTTTCGCGAGACGAGACCACGGGAATTACGCAAGCCTCATGTCGGGAACAATGCACCTTGTTTCATGAATCCGGAGTACACTCCGTGACCGTGTTAGTCCCGTTCCTTTTTGTACACCTCCCTTACAGACCATCGAAATTCCATTGACTTAGTCGACAGTTATGGGGCCATATTAGCCGATATCAAGATTTCCCAGGTTTGTGATGTGTCTGGCGCTTGCAACCAGTCGCGTCCCATCTGTACAGTCCTGCGGAATAGCCGCCGTTGGCCGGTATTGGTCTGGCGATCACTGCATGCCACGTCCCTGGTTTCTGGCTGCATTCTTGGCAGAAGTTTACCGTGTCAAGTGCCGGGAGGGTGGTAGACAGAGCTCAGTTTAGACTCCGGGGCCCTAGACCGTCTTGAAGTGTCCATGTTGCAACCGTTGGAAATGAGATCTACGTCACCGAGCAAATGACATGATAGCGGCAGCGTTTCCGATTTATAGTCAAGTTGATCACCTAATGGCCGTACACAGGCGGGAATAGATGGTTGGCAATTATGGCATAATAGGACAGACCGTCACAGATGCAGGAAGTTGGTGATCAGCCATCTGAAACAAACACGAGTCGAGCACGCTGGAGAGCCCATTCAGTAGGCACACTACCATAGGAGTTCTGTGCCCAATTTTCACTGGCTCGAAACTTTCTACGCGATAAAGATGATTGAGGGACGAAGGATCGGAGTAGACCATGTCCATGTTCATGGCTCATGGTGGACGACACCGCTAATGGCAATATCAAGCCGCGAGCACCTCACATCACGCAACCGAACGGAAACAAGGCTGAGCGTCCACGCTTTTAGCACGGAAGTATGGTTCCAGATTCAACTATGGTCGCTTGAATCATGTAGATGCCATCCACGCGCGCACGCCAGGAGAACTGAAGGAGGGGGACTCGGATAGATTTTGCTTGGGACTTCCCGTCCAACCAAGGGTGAGAACAGGGTCCGTGGACTCTCCCACATCCCGGAGGCAGCCCCTGCCTCCCAGTGGCTCAGTTGGAGGGTAAGCCTTGCTTGATTTGGAGAGTTAGTTCAGGGGAGTTAATTTTTCTAGTTGACCATACACCAGCAACGCAGATATTGCTGTAGCAATCGCTAAGACAAACAGGGGCCGACAGTCGCAGGATCAAAGCCCATCCATCGCCTGACAAGTTCCCTTGAACCGAGCCGAACAGGAAGCTTGAGATACCTTATGCTGAATTCAGGGGTAATCATGATATCCATGAGGTTGAGATTCTCGGCCCCGCTCCCTGATCTTAGGATTATGAAGTTTAATAGTGAGTCATGCCGATGACGGTGGAAGTCAATGGCACGGATGGCTGAAAATGCACAGGTTCCTTGTCTGCTGAATGCTGAGCGACTCGTTGCCCGGCAGTCAATTTCTAACATTACGGTTCTTCCCGATGTCGAACTCTCCTACAAGTAGCAGCTGCGTGCCGTAACGCTAGGTACCATCTAGAGGACGGTGGATATTGACATATCACTGGCAACTTGATGGGATTAACGGTCCGAAGCAAACTGGAGAGAAAGGCCATCTGCAACCGCCCCTTCGCCTTGATCGACGTCAGCAGCAAGACTTGCTGCAAGCTTGCTTGTAGTATGTACGCCCCATCCCAAGACTGATGGCAGAGGACCTGCAGCCAGTACAATTGGCTGCCCAAAATCATGCCTCACATTTACATGTAGTCAGGGGCCGGTCAGGGGTTGATGGACTGTGCTATTTGACACCGGGCAATTTTCCTTTCTTGACACTGCTAAGATTTATCCACTGACAAACAATAGTAGCATGTCACAAGTACATGGCAATCCGGGCTTTTTGGACAGCATCTTGTCCGCCGGGGGGAGGGCGGGGGGCGGGGGGTTCAACTGCCGAGCTTTACGACCAGACCACCAAACCACAGCAAGCACCACCACGTTGTCGACTATCACAACGACAAACAGTACGCAGCCCACAGGCTTCGCTGGTCCCCATCGGGGACCGTGTAAGCCGCTGTACCCTCGCGTCCTCGTTGGTGAGTGGTGGTCATATTGTGCGTAGTGAAGGAGACTCGGTGTTGGTTAGATCATTGGATTATTCGTGTGAAATGAGGCATAATATGATTCCCAGGCATATGAGTGGATGCTGAGAGAAACATGCCGTGCTTCAATCGAATAAGTAATTAGAAGCGTCTTACTAAAAGTGAGTATTGGGCATTATTATGATCATCTGTTATCCTGGCAACTTGAAGGACTTACATGTACTAGTTGGAAACTCGGAGAGAGAACAGTGGAAGCTTGTCATGCTACCTAGGGTAGGTGAGTCTATGTCATGGCTCAAAGCCCCAAGGGATTGAGAGCAATCTCTCGGGCCAAAGACAAGAATAAGAAGCAGATGATCATCACACTGCGGTCACTGACATAACCTTGTAAGTGCTACTGTGCTGGATGCGGATGATTGTAAGACATTACAAGTTCGGCTACCATAAAGTCTAGACTACCAGTTGCCTGCCTCAGCCGGGTGAGCGAAGATTTGTTTTGTAGCAAGAGACCCGAGCCTATGTGCCGTGCGGGGGATGGCACATTGGCACTGACTCGCAGGTTACTACACGTGGTAAGTCGCTCTGCGCGCAGTCAATCGCTGTGAGGCAGGGATACCCACAACATCTTAGCTGTATCATCTCTTGAAAGTCGGCCTGCATCCAGTCTAGACTCGGAGCGCGGGGCACCCTCCGAGGCTGATGTGAGCATCAGCGCCACGGGTGGCGCAAGCTCCTTGGTCCAGAGCAATGCGGTAGGAAGCTTTGCCAGGGGAGCCGGGATGACGGAATTGATCTCTCCGGATAGGTTCTGTCGCCTCTGGACCGATTCGTCTTTTCCGAATGCACCTTATGTCTACTTGAACTCTTTGAGAGTGATTGTGATAGTCACCGACAAGCGCGCTGTGCGGTTGTCCGCATCTATCATGTTCTTGATGATCGCCGATCACCGACAATGGGAGCGCCGGTTCCGCCCCGATACCAAAAAGGGAAGACATCCGAGGTCGGCCTGCTCGTGGCGGCATTCTTGTTTGGGGCCTCAGTTGCCGTCGCTGTCTATGACTCGGCCAAGGCCGGGCGCCAGTCGTATCGGTCATGGCACCGAAGACACCGGGCAAACGCCTACATCGTGATGCTCTGGGCCGTTATCTCAATGTGTATGGTGGCGGCCTTGTGCTGCTGGCTGTATCTGCTCGGCAAGATCCAGCCAAGGTGCGTCTCTCGTGGGATCAAGCTGACCACCTAGCTTGTATGATGACCAGACTGACACGTTGTACAGTATTCATTTCTTCGTCCTCATGCGTACGTGTTAGCATTCTTCTGGTGATCTTTAAACATGTGCTAATACGGCATCTATGTGGCCAGTGGTGACCTGGGTCATCCAGGTGAGTACCCTGCCTTAACCGAACGACGAGCATCCCAGGACTGACGAAAACGCCAACCAGATTCAATGTCTGATGCAAATCCTGGCCAACCGACTCTCTCTCATTCTCTACAACCCGGAAAAGGCACGGCGCCTGAAGTTGGGCTTGTTCATCGCCATCGGCCTCATCAACATCAGCGTCTTTGTCATATGGGTGCCGGCACGGCTCCGGATCAGCGAGACGTGGATCCGCATTAATGTAATCTGGGACCGCATGGAAAAAGCCATCTTTGCCGTCATCGACATGGGCCTCAACGGCTACTTCATGTGGCTCGTCAAGTCTAAGCTAGTGGCCGGCGGACTGAAGCAGTACAACCTCGTCTACAGGTACAACCTGGTAATGTCGTGCTTGTCAGTCTCGCTCGACGTATGTTTCACTCACGGCTCGCCCGCCATGCTAGCAGACACAGTTATTGACTCCTCAATCAGGTCATGCTCATCGGGCTCATGTCCCTCCGCGACGACGCAGTGTAAGCATCACATATACACGACGCGCGTTCGACCCCAGTGCTAACATCCGCCCAGCTATGTCCAAGCGCACCCCCTCGTCTGCCTGACCAAGCTCAACATCGAAATGAACATGGCCGAGCTTCTCGGCAAGGTGGTCAAGAAGTCAACCGAGCAGCGGGCGTCCGTCTCGCTGCCGCTGGCGGACGTCTGTCAGCCACAGCTCGGAATCGACACCTTTGACCGCCAGTGGCTGGGCAGCGCCAAGAACGTCATCGTGCCTTCGGGGAGTCGCGGCAGTAGTCGTGGGAGCAACAGCGGCGGCGGCGGCTGCGGAGGAGGGCAGATGCACGAGCTCAACATGGATATTTTGAATGAGTCAGGTCGTACACAGGCCGAGGAGGTGACGCGGAATGATTCAGGTCGTAGACATGTCGAGGAGGCGACGGGGTCGACTTCGAAGACGCCAAAAGGTGTGAACACTGTGGAGAGGCGTCAGTGGCAGGCGCCTAGTGAGTGGGGAGTGGACGAGAGGCAGTGTGCGTGTGCGAGCATTGCGGGGTCGCAAGCAGCAAGCGCGCAGGAAGTCTAGAGGAAGGATAGTGGTACTTGGGCCTGTGATGCGTAATCCGAGGAGTGGGTAACTGTCGGGACAAGATCCCATCAGCGAGACATTGTAATTTGTGCTTGTTGTTTGCACCACTCTATTCGACTTGGCAAGAATCCGATTACATCATTACGGCGTAGAGAGACATCAGAGACGAGGCTAGAGGACCTGGATAGGCTTCACAAGGGAAATAGTGGGAAACCGAGAGAGAGTTGGGTGATGATGCCTCCAGAGCGAGAACCAGCACGGGACGAAGCCGACGATCGATGCTCTTTATTAATTCAGGTTTCAGGGGAAACGCCGAAGGGAAGCCACCAAGATTCCAAAGAACGCAAATTATTGTGTAGGCAGTTCGGTTGTGAGGGTTAGGGTGTCAGCAATTCCTTGCTTCCAGCACCAATTGCTCTAGCTGGGGAAATGCCCCACTCTTTCTAAACTCGACTCAATTGAATAATCCTCGCGTCCTGATTCTTTATTAAATCTGAATTTTCATCAAAGACCCAAATCCTAAGAGTTGCGCAGCCTTGGAAAATGGATGGCCCAGAGGAATCGGGGCCCAAAAGCCACACAAGAACAAGATCAGGAATGAAAGGCAGGTGAGCGACAGAGTGTGTCTTTACTCAGTCACACATCCACAGCGCTGTCCAGCAATCTCCTTTTCGTTTACATGCAGTCGTCGTCGTCGTCGTCGTCGTCACAAGTGTGGCTTGCTACTGTAATCTTCGACTCATTTTCGAGCTCATTTAAGCTAACTTTAAACAGCGATTCGCCCTCGCTCATCCACTAAAGGCCCACTTGACGATGAGTGAGTTCTTCACTCCTTCTCTCTACGGTATCTCACTCCCACGTAACCTGACATTGACACTCTCCCCGGCAAGCGGGCCCCTCGCATCACCGCTCTCTGCCGATCACGCTCAGCAAACCCTCTCCCTCCGAAGCCAACCACGAAGCCCTAGCCCGAGGTCACTCATGAAGCCCCGATCCCCCGCCCACTCTCCGGCCCCGACCGGCAAGCGATCCTTCACCCCCGGCATAGCCCCAGCACGGCACGGCCCGAAGGACTTCTCGTACCTCCTCCGCCCCGAAATCTACCACGACCTGACCCCGCTCAACAACCCGCCCTCTTTCCGCAACCCTCCCAACCAGCTGTCCAAGGACACCCCAATCCCTGACCTCCTATCGCAGGGCTACTTCCGCGCCGCCGCCATCGCTGCAGCCCACCGCCTCACAAGCGGCGCCCTGGATCCGACAGACCACGCTCAAATCTTCGACCTACTTTACACCCGCTTAGCCTGCCTAACCCTCCTCGACGCGACCGCCCTCGCCGCGCAGGAGGTCAAAGCCCTGGGCGACCTGCACTCGGCCTTCTACTACTCCTCCTCCCCCGCTGCCCAGCAACTCCCCGAGGACACCATCATCACCAGTGCCGTAAGCACTACCACTACCATTACTGCTATTGCCACGGCAAATCCAACGCACCTCGTCCCTTGGCCCCTCCGCGTCCTCGCCGTCCGCCTCCAAGCCCTCGGCTTCAGCGACCCGCGCCGCGCCGTCATGAGCTACTACGACCTGGCGCGCGAGGCGAGGGTGCGATTGGGCGAGGCAAAGGCCGCGCACGACCACTCGGCTATGGAGCTGTGGAAGGAGCGGTTGGCGGATCTCGGCGTACGGGTCGCTGGGGCGCTGGTTGAGATGGATGATTTGACGGGGGCGGTGGAGCATTTGGAAACGTTGAGGAAGGAGAAGGAGGAAGGATCTGTTGGCGCGGGGATGGGGAGGATCCGAATGGCGTTGCTGTATCTGCATCTTGGGGATGTCTCTGCTGCGAGGGGATGTGTGGGTGCTGGAGATGGGGTGGAGGATGGAGTGCAGGAGAGGGTGGTGACGGCGCTGTGTGATATGGCGGATGGCGACTTTGAAGCTGCGCTGGGGAAGTGGGCCGAGCTGAAGGAGAAGGTGGATGACGAGATGGTTGGGGTCAATATGGCGGTTTGTCTGCTGTACGTGGGGAGGATGCAGGAGGTGAGTTCATGGTGTTTGATGTGGTGTGTCACTGGTGATGGTTGCTGACGTCAAGCAGGGCAGGGCGTTGCTCGAGCAGCTTGTCGACTCTGGTCGATCATCGCACACATTGTTGTTCAATCTGACGACAATGTACGAGCTTTGCACTGACAGGTCGCGGGCCCTCAAAGTGAAGCTATCAGAGAGGGTGGCCGCCAGGGAGAACCGGGATGATGGCTGGGAGAAGTCAAATGCGGATTTTAAGCTGTAGTGAGCACAGCAGGGCCGAACAATAGGGATCAGGCCCAGTGAAATCGGGCATTAGATGTGGCGGCATTGTTTCTCTACCAGCCAACTGGTGGCGATTTCGCTTTTCGTCCTACTCAAGGTGAACCGGCTGCCTTCTTCTATTTCCCATCCCAGCCGGGAACTGTAATTTCTCCATCACCCGCCAACAACTCTCATTCCACCTCTCCCACTAGATCATCTCTTCTAGGTAACGTATATTATCGGGAAATGTATAACAAGTCAGATTAAAATAGTTGCCCTTTCGGTCTGCCCGCCGGGCGTTAATGAATTGTATTCGCATTCGCATTCATTGGAATGGATCCGGACCCTGGTCATGGTGCGACGGTCGGCAACCTATTTGTCAATCGCCGGCAGGTCACCCGAGACGACGCGACCTCAGTCCTCAGACTTGAATAGGCTCGGCACCTTCCCGTTTCTGTAAACTAATGGAATGGGACGGTGTCACGGACCTGCGTTGCTATCAGGGCTTCAGTCTGTTCTCAACAACTTAGTCTCTTAGAAATGCGTGAAGGCAAGTGCTGGACTCTATATCAACCAAAACCTCTCTAATCCTAAAAATTCAGATGCTTTCCAGGAGTCCCGATTGGTCAAGTTGCCTTCGCGGCGTCGCTAGCGAGTGCTGTTGGTTGGTTTTAATACAAAGAGCAAGAGCGGGGCTTGTGTCGCACAAGGGCAAGGCTCTGAATTGTTGCGGATTCTCGTGCGGGGACTACGACTTGATTCTGGCTTTTCCTGACCCCTGAGGTACGGATACTCGAGTTCCATTGATGTCTCCAACCATGAGTGGAAGCCAGTTACATCGAGAAACAGTGAGCGCAAACCGGTCGCGCAGGCTCACCGCTCACGGCGATCCAGTCGCGAGCCCCATGAGCAGCGCGAGTCCCACCATAGACAACACCTTGCCTTACCGGGGGACCGAACTCCCCAAAAATAGCTTACGGCTACTTGACATAGAGCCGGCTACACACGATGACGGCCCTGTGGTCTGCACTCTGAAGGAGGTGCCCTTCGGCAGCAGGCCCAAATATGAGGCGTTGTCCTATATGTGGGGTCCCGAAGAAGGGAAGGATGCCATGATCTTGAATGGCCATCCTTTCCATGTCCGAAAGAACCTCCGGGATGCCCTCATCTTCCTCCGCAACGAAGTTGCGTCCGGGAACGCGCAACCGCCGTTCTGGATTGACGCTATCTGCATCAACCAGAGTAATAGGGCCGAGCGGAACCGACAGCTCCCGATCATGGGTCAGATCTACTTCAGAGCAGGCACGGTCGTGGTCTGGTTGGGGAGCAGCTACCAAACCTTTGAAAAGAGGATGACTAATGAGACAACGTCTGAAGAGGACAAGAAGCCAGAAGAACACGACTCCTCGCGCGACAAGAGAATTCAGCAGGAGATGGTTCGATGCTTGCAGAAGGACGATTACTGGGGTCGTCTCTGGATAATCCAGGAGATCGGCCGAGCGAGGAAGCTCCGGGTCTGCTTCGGAACTCAAACGCTGTCGTGGGAGCGTTTTGCTCAGCTGATCACGATGCACAACGGAGATGGGAACACCGGGCCGCTACGATTGGACGGACTGCTCCGCAAAGAAAAGTACAACGACTCTCACACCCTCAAGAGACTTCTCGAGGATCATAAGGCAGCAAAATGCTCCGATGTGAGAGACAAAGTCTACGGGCTCGTTGGGCTTGCCTCGGACGCCGCAGAGTTTCCGATGGACTACAAGAAGACTCCGTATGAAGTGTGGAAGGATACCATGGTGTTTATGAACATGTGGGGTCTGTTCAAGGAGGAATCCCAAATCCTCCCGGTCGGAGCTCTAGTGAAGAGCCTTCTGATGGAAAACCACAGCGAGCCCTGGAGTTGGATCTCGCCCGGGAAGGAGCACGAGGACCAGGTCGACTCCACTCAGCTTATCGAAGACTCGGACAGCGCTCTCGTTTTTCACCTCGATGCGATTCCACTTGGCTGTATCCTCGGCGTTGGACCTTCCGCCAGGGAGGTCGTTTCCAGCCCCCACGGCACTACAGGGTGGTCCACTGCCATCCAGCGCTTGTTTCCAGCAGGCGAACTGGGGCCGGCTCGCAAGGAGTACGACAACTTGGTCAGCACGCTCCTTGAGTCCAATGATTCAGATGTTGAGAAGATGTGCTTTAACAGGCCAAGTTCTGTCGTCTTCTGGTCAACCGCGAAGTGCAATGACTACCGATCAGAGACCGTTAGGGGGTGCATCGAGCAAATTGAAAAAAGGAATAACAACCTCACGATCCAGTTTCCATATACACTACAGCAAGGGGCAGACAAACCTTTGACATCTGTTCAGCCCCGGCTGTACCTGGCGAAGAGTTACACCCGGGACAAACCCTCTTGGCCTAAGATGGGCGTGGCCTCGGGTCTCGTTGAGCTTAGAGACCTCGTCTGCTGGGTTCGCTCATCGAGGCGAGCCCTCTTGGTCAGGGATACTTCAACAAGTGCAGGGGACGGGTACATTGAAAAGAAGGCAAGAGTGTTCGGCACAGCATTAGTCACGGGCGACATGCGTCGCCCAGCCCCAGACAAGGACTTTTACACAAATCGATGGAGTTCCCTGGAGAACGAGAAAAAACTAAAAATCCAGGTCGATGCTAGCACAATATTCACGCTTTTGGAGTGAAGGACCATCAGTTCTATTTTCTTTTCACCGGATTTTTGGAGATTGTTGATGAAGGGGCGGCCTTGTAAGATATGATCACAGACTCATGTCAAGTTCCAGTTCGGCCGGGGGAGAGAGAATGGGATTTTTTCAAGCTTTTGTCCTTTTCATTCCAAGCACTGAGCGGCATCACACGTTCTGATTAACGCACTTGGTCGTAGGTTTGTTCGAGCACCAGCTGTTATTGCATCAATGTCAAATTTATATAGTTACAGAAACTACTGCTGTTAACGTGGCTTATAAGCGAGTGAAACAGATAACGTCAACGTTAAGCGAGTGAAAAACTCTCCACCGCGTCACGCATCCTCTAACTAACCACAACCATGAATCCTCGACCACTAACCATGGCCTCACCTTCCAACGAAGCCAGAGTTATTCTGGCACTTCAGGCTCTGAAAAATGACCACACTCTTAGTCTTCGGGCTGCAGCGAAGATCTACGAGTCAGCCCCGCGACACTTATGCGACGACGCGACGGCAAGGCTGCACGACGCGATAATACGCCCAACTCGCGCCGGCTTAGAGATTCCGAAGAGAGGCTCTTGTTCAGTACATAATTGAGCTATCTGAGCGAGCTTTTCCGCCGAGAATACGTGGTGTGGAAGATACGGCCAACCAACTGTTACGACGCGCCCCCTGTCGGTAAGCTCTGGGCTTAGTTACGACTTCGTCAAGCGCCAGCCGGAGCTCCATACGCGTTGGACGCGTAGATACGACTACCAGAGGGCGAAGTGCGGAGATCCAATGGTCATTACCGAGTGGTTTAGGCTTGTACGGAAGACTATAGACACGTTAACAGGAGTTTCAAAGTTCAAACTCTAGACACAGCGACCAAGGCAGGACACCCCACTTCATTGTGATATTTCTCCCCCCTCATCCACTGCACCCCAACCAGCCGCAAGCCATGCCTCTGCACAAACTCCTCAGCCCTGAAACTTCGCCTCTCAACAAACTCCTTCCCGCCCACGTCGCTCATCTCAAGCTTCAACCCCTGCTCCGGCTCGGCAAAGAGCAGAAACAAATACCGATGCGGGCCCGATTCGTCCTTGGGACCCGGCGCAAGGTACTAGGTCATAGTCCTCCCCGTGTCCCCCACGCTCACACCCTTTTTCTGCGCTTCCCGCTGCTCGGAGGAAGATGGAGACGGGATGGTTGTCACCACTTAGTGCCACTAGTAGCCGAACTTGGGGTCGTCGGGCGTCGGCGCGTCCGGGTCGATGAACATGAATGTGAAGCTCTGCTCGGGGCTGCTGTTGAGGAGATGGCCAAGATAGAATTAGAGGGTGTCTGTTTTACTTCGCTGACGGGCACGAGTGGATACCGCATGGAGCACCCGTTTGTGCTGACTTGCCATCATTCCCATTTGGTTCAGTACTCAGCTTACACACACACACACGCTCTATTCCGCTCGGCGGGCTTAACCCGAAAGGGCAACTTCACGCATCTACGAGAACATTTCCCAAGATGACACCTGGTCTTCTAGAGCCCATACGACCTCATTTTGTGCGTTATGACCTCAATTCATTACCCTGTTCTCTGCAGGTACTCGTGGGTTAGTAGTATCACGAGTAAGCCAGCTTGAAGACCATTTTCCAAGTGTTCAACGTCATATCCTCGGCGGTTGAAGCGTGCTTACTCGGAGTAGCACGAGATGGGTAGTGGTAGGTTAGTGGTGACGGGTTTATACTGTCCCGTTCTGTGGTTCGTCTGCGTCCAGACGGCCTGGAACCATTGCGAACCGTATAGTTGCGCGCAACGCTTGCATACCCGGGGGCCAGTTCTTGTCATCCGAGGGCGACTTCCTTCTTATGAAGAATGAGAGGTTGCCCCTGTGGATATCTATGCATTGAAGCATCCCTGCCCGGTGTTCAGTCTATTATTGTCTACATCGAAATAGGAAGTACCCGACTGTCTCTTGCTTGTCCGTACGTGTACTGGTCTGACGATGCTGCTTTGATGCGGTGAAGGTATATGTTGAGTTTGGCTATGCCCGTCCTGAGTTGAGCGAGCACGCCGGCCTCCTTCCGTGATAGGTGGTCGTATAGCAGTCGAGTGTGGTTTCCTGGCAACGCTGTGTCGACTCTCTTGAAAAGCCTACCCACTTTCTTTGGCAGAGACTTGGCCGACACCCGCTTATCCCGTGCAACACGGAGTGTTGTTGATCGTATCCCGAGTCCTTGGGCTTGTTGCCTAGCGTTCTGTTGAGTTACCTCCCTCGCTTTGTTCTTGGCAATCTTTAGGAGCCCATTTTCGCCGGTCGTTGGGATCCACACGACTGAGATCGCATTCCAAGCGTCCCGTGCTGTTTATATTGCTTACACGCCTCGGAGATATATTGTTGGCCTGACTGCTGGCGTGGATTCTTCAGCGTCAACACGGCTGCTTTGTTGCTCGTAGCGAGTATGATCCAGCGGTCCCTGACTTTCCGCAACAACCTCAACGCATGCCGGACAGCTGCAAGTTCTGCTGAGAATGGGTTCTGTTCCGTCCTTACGCTAGAGTCATCTTGAACGTCTCGTCTCGCGGCCCACCGCGCATAGATAGCGGGATACGGACGACCCCTCCCATTCCTATCATGCCGTTCGTGCAGAGTTGCTGACGGCAATCCACACTGCCCACCCCGTCTCCATCTGCGCTGTGGCTGTTCCATAAACCGTGGTGTAAATCTGCCACCCGGTAGAAGGGCGAGCGGTACGATCTTCTGTACTTTCGTATTCGGGAGGCGGCTTTGCGTAGTGGATTCGTTTCCATAAGGGTGTGAATGTCCGTCCACGACTTGACCACTCTTCTCCAGAATCAATCTTAGGCCGAGGCGATATGAGCTTCTGCTTCCGCTACGCTGGTTGCCACTGTGCTGAACGTTCCCACAATCGCCTGTGCCCCGATTCTCTGCACCCTGTTGATGGCTGGCGCGGCTTTTCCAATTGCATTCGTGCATCTAGACGTTGGATCCACTGCCGGGGGGACCATAGACGGGAACAGCTGTCGGGCCATGCGTGGAGATAGGCCCCTGAGCCGCTTCGATCCCAACGCTGCCTCCAGCTTTTTGGGTGATGCCCTTGCAATGTGTTCCTTGTATCTGAGCCTCGCATCCATGACCACCTCTACACCCTGGATGTGGTCTTCTGGTTGAACAACCTGGCCCTTGATGAAGGACTCTGAGTCGGCCTCGTACGCCTTGTGAGTAAAGTGGATGATTGCCGTCTTTCTGCTGCAGATGTCGCTCCGCATCTGCTCTCCCAGTCTAGCGCATCGTTGATGATTGCTTCAATGCCCTCGCGGGTGCTCTACGCCGTCAGTCCGCCACCGGGCCATGAAATCGTTAAGGAGATTGCCCCAGCCTTGCTATCGGGTCTTCCGTTGTACGAGGTCCGAGTTGGAAATTAGGAACAGGATGGGAGAGAGGGGAGAGCCATGGAGCAGGCTTCGCACTTTCGCGGCATGTCTGTGGAAAACACATACACGCAATTTATTTTGCGCGGCGGGCTTAACCCAAAAGGGCACCTATCATGCATCGACAAGTACTGTACATTTCCTATAATGAATCCTGGTCTCCTATAGCCCATATGACCTTCTTCTGTGCGTTAGGTCCTCAATATTCTGCCATTTTCTCTGCTAGTGGTTGTGGGTTAGGATAACATGAGTGAGCCGGCTTGAAGGAAACACCAACTGGAAAATGCATAAGCTCAATTCCCTTCTGTCACCGGCTCTTTTTAATGCGACCCCCATCTGTCTGCACTCGGCACTGCCCCTATCATGCTATTGGGCGATGAGTCTTGGTGGCTCACGACCCCTGGTGATGTAAATCTCTCTGGGTCCGTCTCCTCGCGAAACGTTCCTTCACTCGACCTCTTATTGCTCTTCGACGGTGGCCGTTCGGCGGACAGTGAATGGCAGGGCTGAATTGGCCTTCTCTCCCTCATTCGATGCATGCAACTTATGCCTGTTTTGCGTCCACCCGCCTACCAACCAGCCTACCGGAAATACTCGTAGTAGTTCCATTCTCACATGTGAGAGACAGACTGACGATACTCGTTGCCTAGCTCCACACATAATTATCGCGCATTTCATGGCCATATTCTCACACTGTCCTCAGCATCACTTGCCCTGTCCGTCATCGATTTTTTCTCGCCATCACTCTTGCCTCGCCATCGCCCTTTTCTTAATCGTTCTTGCAGCCTACAAAACTTTGCTCATCAAACGATTTCTGCGTTTGCAATCTGCGATCAAACCATGGCCATATAAGTTCGATATAGGTTGGTCATAACCATTTCCGACGTTCGACGGCCAGGTCAAACATCGCTGTGGTTTTGCAGAGAACTTGCGGCAAATTGAGCAGCAAGCATCACTTTCAGCAAGGTTCCCTTCTATGAAGTTGTCCCTTATTATCCAAATACTCCCAGGGCTCACCCTTCAACTCCCTTCCCATGCTCCCCACTCAGTTCCCAGGGGACTAGAGAGAAACAACTTTCCCATTTACCGTTTTCTTTCTCTACGTTCTCATCTTCCACTGCTTCCACTACTTTCTCTTCCTCCTCTTCTTTCTCTTCCTCCTCTTCTTCCTCTTCTTCCTCTTCTTTCTCTTCTTCCTCTTCTTTCTCTTCTTCCTCTTCTTTCTCTTCTTCCTCTTCTTCCTCTTCTTTCTCTTCTTCCTCTTCTTTCTCTTGTTACGCGTCTTCCTCTTGTTCCTCTTGTTGCTCTTAATCCTCTCCTTCCTCTTCCTCTTTCTCTTCCTCTTTGTAACGTCCTGTATATACTTGATCAGTTCGATCTAACAAGACCAGCCACTTCCTCCCATCCTCGGCTCGGTTTCACGTCCAGCCAAGATGACATTCGTCTCCTCTGTCGCAGCGGCAAATATCAACATACCGTCATCAAAGCAGCTTCTTCTCCAGCGACGCATGCAACAGTTTCGCCCGCTGCTGCGCATTCAACCCCGCCGACGCTTTCACACCCGCCGACGTCTGACTTTTCTCGGCCTGCCGCGAGGGGCTCGGGGCCAGATATACTGCCATGTTCTCCAAGATAACCCCATCGGCCGTGACTGGGAGCGCGGCGTCCAGCCTTATTTCCCCACCGAGCACCTGGGTCTCCTGCTCACGTCGCGGCAGATAAACGAGGAGGCGTCCATTATCTCTTCGAGACCATCCATCTGGGCTCAGATGCAGCCCAAGGATGGAGACTTCTCAAATGTCTGGATCCAGATCGAGTCCCCCGGATCCGCAACCTCACCATTTATTATCACTGCCTTCAATACTGCGGGATATCATCCCACTGGGGTGGTGAGGAGCTGGACTGGATGCCGGTGTTTGAGCTACTAGGTTGCGTTTGGGCTCGCATGCAATCTCTAGACGTCTATTTCACCCCTTGTTTCCGCGACCGGTACGACACCGATCGCTACATCGAAAGGGTATGCTTACTCATGTGGGACGTGGAGTAGGATTGCTTCTGGCTAGGTCTCGAGATGCTCAGCATCGTCAGAGAGGTCCGATTCCAGGACCCGGTTCCTGAGAATTTCGTACGGCGCACGGCGAAGAGGCTTGGCTGGGATGCGAACGGCACAGTGGAGGGAGGCTACTCTACTCCATTGCGCCCATCCAACACATTTAAAGGGAAGCTGGTGAACCCAGCGTACACGGAACAGCCGTTACAACTTCAGATTGCCCAGAGACCCGCCGCATTGAGAATGAGGGATGATTCAGCCTGTTCACTCTTTCCCCACCCAAAAAGACTTGCGAGCAACGGTCTGTTCAGAGGGTGGTGATGATGCCTGGCGGGCTTCACATCCACACGGATTAAGCAAACCACCTGCTTGAGTTTCCATCAGAGAGTCGCCAACGAAGCTACGACTATGCATGCGGAGAGTGGGAGTACAAGCCGTTCTGGCCCGCTGAGCCAACCCGCTTCAATCCAGGGACCAACTTGCTTTTCACATGCAAGCAGATAGCTGCCGAAGCGGCCCCGTCGATGTATCATATATTCCAGATACATGGAGACGATTTTCACTGGGCCCTGGACAAGCTGGAGCTCAACCTCGCCGCTGTTCGAACCCTCGATATCCATTTCTCCTGCTTCTGCCCTGTGGGAGACATCAACCTCAGACTGAACAACTTCAGCCTCTACGCCGCGAAAACCTTGGAAGACTATGCCCATAGATATCCAAGACGGCCGTCGAGTTCCCTCTCCCAGATCCCTCCCGACTGGTTACGCGACCGCGGGCCCCTCGGGAATGCAAAACACGATTGGACAACCGCCATGAACCGCATCCAATCCCTTGCTGGCCTGGTCGAGCTAAAGTGGCATTCCAAGCCTGCACTCGCGCCATCTCCTACCAGCAGCGGCGTCGATTCCTACTCCACGGGCAGACATGGACTGATTTCCATCACCACTGCTGTATCTCCCTGGAAGACCACTTCCTGGATCTTCTCGTCAATTATCGACGCATCGACAGACTTCTCCCGTTCGTTACCGTCCCACCCAGCCTGGCAACCCGCCTTGCTCAACCATATCCCGGCCGCGGCATGTCAATCGAGGCGGTCAGCAAACCGATGGCTAAAATCATCAAGGATACCGAGGGGGACTGGCAGGCGTGGAGCCGCCGCAGGAAGAACTAGCATGGTTTGCGGTGGGAACAGACACACTCCTCCCGAACGATGTTGAGGATCCAACATTGCCATTGCGTCCAGTACCGCACTTCTTGTTGGTCAGGGAGGGCACGGCACGCATGAAGTTGGCAAAGCATGTTGAGCCGGATGGAGATAGACATTTTCTGGGGGGAATGGAGCTGGTGGTGGCTGGGTCGATCACAAACATGACGCTGTATGAGATAAAGGAGTTCATGGACCGGGGTGCGTAAGTCGCTGCCCCGCAATAAGGAGACGGATGATAGATAGGAAGGTTGGAGCACTATCCCAAGCGACAGGTAATGCGTGATAATTTGGTACGATCATGCGTGATAATTTGGTACGATCATGCGTGATAATTTGGTACGAACATGTGCTTCCGAGTGAATAAGATGTAAAGGAGGTTTAACAGGAAAAAGAAAGAGAAAAGAAACAGAAAGAAACGATAAGAAAAAGAAAAGTAGAGAAGTAAAGAGAAGTACAAAGAGGTAAAGAGGAGTAACTAAAGAGAAGAGGAAAGAAAAGAAGGTAACATTAAGGAAAGATAATAAAGAGATAACGTTAAGAGAAATAATAAAATGAATAAGTTAGCTAATTCTTTATACTAGATAGTTTGTCCTGATGTTACAAAGTTACAAGTTCTAACTATAACTAACGTTAGTGATAAACAAGTGAGGGTTGGACTATAAGTCTAATCATAATGCGTTCGCAAAACTAGTAGCATGCCGAACCATTACGCTGCCTCCTATCTCTATCTTCTAAGATGACAGCGTTTCCTTTGTTTCAAGACAATTGTCCTTTCTGGGCCAAGCAGATAGCTTAATTACATCATGTTATGACGCATTTCTTTGATCCGTTGCCCATGGATAGGACCAGGACTTCCGCAGAGAAAAACGACTGGAACTTCCAATTCTATTGTCCTCTCGAAACCAAATACCCAGAGCAGGCCTCAAAATATGCAGTAAATATTCTGTCTCCCCCGTGATCCTAGAGCAACAAAATCTGACCTGTGTACCCAGAATGCCGCCTTGTTATTAGACCAAAAAGCCAAGCTTCAAGCCCCCATCTCCCCTGTACCCACAAGCAGCTTCCCCACAGCCTCCCCGACCTCCATCGCACTCCCACAAACCAAGGCCCCCTTCTCCCCACAATCTCTCACTTCCTTATCCAGAACCCTACACCCATCAACCGGATCCACCGCCTCACCCCCAGCGCACTCCACCACCAGCGCGAGCGGACACAGCTCATAGAGCCGCCTCAACTTGGCCTTGCTCCCTGCCGTCGCAGGACTGAGATACACCCCTTGGCCCTGCACCAGCATGCGCACAACGTCGGGAACCAACCCGCCGGCATAGCGCAGCGTGTATTGTCGGGTGATGTAGCCGTTTACGATCGACATGTAGGCCTCATCCTCGGCGGCAGCGCGCAGGTTAGCAGGGGAGAAATAGGTCGAGCGCGGCGAGAGCCGTAGACTGGGCCGTGTGATATGCCAGGTGCTAGTGTAGGGATCGAGGGACACTTCAAGGCAGGTTTGGACGGGTTGGGAGGGTGCCGTGTCGGGCATGCGCAGGGCGATTATGGCGGTTGTGCGCGGACCTAGGACGCCGAGGATGGCGGCTATTTGGGCTCTGGAGGGGAGTTGGTTCAGGGCTGAGGCGCCGTCCCATAGGGAGAAGATGGTGCCGACTGTCCAGTTGGCGGAGATGATGGAGCTGCCGTCGAGGGGGTCGAAGGCGAGGGTGTATTGCTCTGTAGGGGAGGAGGAGGAGGCTGGGTGCACTGGACGCTCGACAGGGTCTTCCTCGCTGCTGGCTTTGACGATTGAGGGGCAGTTAAGGATGGCGTTGCGGATGAGGTTCTCGGCTGTGACATCGACGTTGAGTTCTGGTATGGTTTGTTAGTTGGTGTTCATGGGGGTTCAGCAAAACGAGGGACATACGATGGTCGCCAAAGGTGTTGGCGGTGCCGGCAGCGATCACATTGTGTGCCTTGCGGAGGGCGTCTGCAACTGCGGCGACGCTCTGCAAGAGCCGGGGGATGACTGAGGTGATAAGGGCCTCCCGAGTGCCGTCCACGGGAAGGAGGGATCGCAGGTGCGTCTCCAGGGGAATGGTCTCCATTGTTGCTATGCGTGTATTGGCGTGATCGGTAGAAAAATAACTGGAGATCTGATTTGCAATATCGACTTGGTTCTTCTGCGGTACTTGGCTATGCCTGTGTTCATACACTGTGAATGAATCCAAGTTCGGACTCACATTTCGAACTGGAGGAACAAAAACCCCACCACGCCGAAACCGCAGTCGTCATGAGCATAAATTGCAGTGGTCGCTGGGTGCTCTCAGGGTTAGGGTCGACCCCTGAAATGGAGTGTAAACACTAATGGACAGTCACATTCCAGGTCACTTATTTTGAGGGATCCATAGCATCACTGTGTCACCAAAGCAGTTGAGTTAGAGTTGTATTCTCCAACTTGACCTAGGCAAAGAAATGTCTCATGATAGGCCAGTGACCACAGTGCTGACTGCGTGCGCGTGTCTCTCAACATCGGACGGCAGTACTGAACAACTGCACAACAAGTCCCACAATGGTTGGTCCCTTGGTCACGGCCTTGAAGGGATTCTCAGACAAACAATATTGCATCGTGCCACCAGTTTGCTTTCTAACTTGAAGCTGTTTCCTCCTCCACCTCTGTGAGCACTTCAAGGCTGACACCACTGTTGCATTCTCATCATGCAGTCAATCCAAAACTCAACGGGCCCGTCCCATTGCATCCAGTCTGCATGCACCGCTTTCAATCCTGCTCTTGAAGGTATTGCTGAAGGTATGGGTTTCTCTCCTTCGCTTTCTCTCTTTCGCGCTCTCTCCACCGTTGCCCGTGTTCCAGGCGTAGGAATCGATAACCAAACATCAGTCACCAACACCAATCACGACACATCCCCCACCATGACGTCGAAGACAACTGTTGGCCGCAAGAGGACGCGTTCTCTAGCGGGCTCCGATTCGGCCGACACCAAGCTCACTGCTCCCAAAACCGCTCCCCCGATCCGCGCGATCCTCATCCACCTGAGCGCCCTTTTGTCTTCCGATGCAGCCATTACGAGCACATTGCGCAAGGCTCTCTCAGGGATTCTTCCCAGGAGAGATATTCCAGATATGGCAGATGAAGCAATCCTCCGCGCCTTCAGCACTTCTTCGAACTTTTACACCATTCTAAGGGAACTCAATGTCCGTAATCTCAGTGACGATGAACGTAAGGACATTGAGTCACGCTACTGTGTCGTCTACGAGATGGAAGGAATCCGGAAGCTTTGCTTAGACCCTCATGCCAATTCCTTTCTCGAAGAGGCCGCTCGCCAGCCGTACTTCCGACTCGCGACCACGTCAAGCAACCCCATGCTGGCGGCCAACCTGGTAGAAAAGTTGGGAATCAAGTCGCTGGAGGCGGTGTGTACCAAGATCATTTGGAACAAGCATGGATGAAACGAAACCAATCATAGCTGACACTACTGGAACAGGTAATCCCGACCAGCGATTTAGACAGCATCACAGACCCCTCCGAAGCCCGCAAAACCTTCCATTCCAAAATCTGGAAACGCCTCATCGAGCCCTGGTTCAGCGACCCGATCCGTCGCGGCGGCTGGGACTCCTCCTCCTGCTCCGAACTCGACGACTCCAGCAAGGACATCGCTTCCAAGCTCACCACTACCACGACCGCCACCAGCAACGACGACAACCCCCAAGCCAAGATCACCACCATCACCACTTCCCAGACCGTCGACATCCCCAAGCCGGACCTGACCGCCAACAACCCAAATAACTACCGCGGCCCTGACCCGACCGCCGCACCGCTCCAGCCCTCTGAGGTCATGGTCATCTCCTGCACGCTGTACGACTTGAACATTGCAAAGGCAGCCGGCATGCAGACTTGCTGGGTGCGCAAGATCAGGGGCGAGGAAGACATCTTCCAGCAGCGTGCAGCCGGAAACCATGACATTATCGTGAGCAATCTGGACGAGGCCCGTCTCAAGCTGTTCGGTAGCGGTGATAATGAGGCAGGCAATCCTGTAGTGGACGATCAGGGCAAGGGACACGCAAAGGGTAAAGCAAAGGCAAAGAAGGATGGGGTTATGAAGAGCATCTCCAAGGAGAGGCACACAGATGATGACCTGGTTATGCAGGGCATTGGCGAAGAACAAGCAAAGAAGCAGGCTGCGGAGGTCGGTATGGGCGGGAAGAACGAGACCACGCAGGACAACGATGGTGAAGAAAAAGACACTGCCGTTCGCGAGGTGGCCGAGGACAAGGAGGTCGTTCAGATGGAGATCTGTGATGACTGAAACCGGTTGCTGAACTGTGCATTAGGTCATGCTCAACCGAGATCTGGGAAGACCTGAGGAGAGACAGACTTTGGTGAGAATCACTTTCCAGCAACTTCGGGTCTTTTGTTATTAGCCCTTCGATAGGTTCTGTGTTTATGGGTTCGTAATGCCTGGTCTGAGTCACCACTTCGGGTTCCTTCATACCGAGTCTATGTCCATGTATCCAGTACTTGTCTTCATGCGTTCGCGCCCATCGATCATCAATACTCTGCATAATGGGCATCGACAAACCACTTGGATAGACAATAGCTTTCTGACCACCTCCTGTGCAGGCAACCCACCTTTTAATCTTGGCAGAAGAGATAACTAGAAGTTTATTGATTAACGGTAAACTTGGGCAGAGTGTCGCAACCCCTTGGGAGAAAACGGAACACAGTGAGATTATTGAGTTCCTCCAATTCGGCTGTTGGGTGCATGTGACGCTCGTCAATTGCACTTAGGTGTTGGGATAGCCCGGGCGAAGGGGCATCAGAGCATGGGGCGAAAGGTGAAGGTCCTTCTAAGTGCGTCCAGTGCGAACAATTCCAACAACACCACAAGCGCTCGAACTCGTTCATGGCGCAGTAGCAGGGCTGTGAGCCGATTGGATCAGCTTCTGGGCTGCCAACATCCCCTCGGTCTGCAGAGCTAGCACAATTTCTTTTTTCATTCCCGCTGGTAGCGGGTATAATATTTTCTTTTTGAAGTGCTTCCTTCTTTACCCCATCCCAATATCTACCTCAAACAAGCGTGGAATATTCGCCGCAATGTACTGATCCAGAGTCGTCAACCGGTGCGGCACCATCTCCATCGTCTTCCAGGCCAGCTCTTCCGACCCCGGCCCATAATACCTAACTCGGCAGCGAACTTGAACACATTCACCACCGGCTCCCGCGCCGGCGGCGGCAGGAACTCCCGGAATTTCTCTTCCGGCACCATGACGCACTTGACCGTCTTGCCCGTCTGCGCCGACAGCTTCGCAGCAGCCTCGTCAAATGTGTGCATCCCGGCCGCCGCGTACAAGGTCTTGCCCGCAAACACTTCCGGCTCCGCCAGAATCGTCCCCAAAAACTTGCCCGTGTCTGCCACCACGTCGATCCAGGGAAAGCCACAGTCGCCGGGGGAGATATTCGGGATAGCGTACACCCCAGGCTGATCGGCCCCACAGGCCGAGGCGCTATCATATCTGGGAAATCCTGTATAAAGCTGCCCGGCGCGTAGAACGCGCTCTTGACGGGTAGGGTGCGGATGTACGCCTCGACCTCGCCCCGCGAATCGTACGCCGCCACCGCCGCGTCGGCCGCAGCCTTGCCCTGGCGCACCTCGCGCTCCTTGGTCTGGTCGTCGTAGATGGTTCGGGTGGTGATGAAGACTGTGTGGGCGTCTGCCAGCGCGGCTTTCAGCGATACTGGGTCATCCAGGTCGCCCTGGACGACCTCAGCCCCTTTGGCTCGAAGGGCGTCGACGGCCGGCTTGGTGGGCCTCTTGTGATGGCGCGCACCTTGTAGTGGGCCGAGAGGGACGGATCGGAGAGACGAAATGGGCAAGGGAGCCGTCTTGCTGGCCTGTGGCGCCGAGGATGGCGAGGAGCTCTGACCATTTTCGTAACGGAGGATGCGTGAGTAAACTGTCTTCAACTTCGCTGTTGGGTGAGTTTTTCAGCTGCTGTTGGATGGATGTGGCGACCTGAATCGAAAATAACACGGGACATCCGACGACGTGCCGTGTATGCCCTGCATGTTGATCCTCTTCCAGGCGTTGCGGTTTCTGCCCTACTCTTGACTGGCAAGATAAGTCCACTATGTCCGGCGAGCCGCGCCTGGCAACGCGGTCGGCTGGGGCACAAAGGCAATGATTGGAAGCCGTTAGCCAAATGCACTGCCCTGAATTGACGCCTGGCGGGTGTTGTGGATGTACTTCCTCGCTCCATGGCGACCTCCCCCGTGGAACTGAGCCTGGAACGCGGTGGCTTGAGATCGAAGTGGCGAGGCCGTGGCCATGAAGCATAGGTTGATCCATCAGAGACCTGAGGCCGCCTTGCAGCCTGGTGCGACCAGGGCCTGCTATGAACTTGTATCGAACATGGACGACTCATCCAAGGCCGCACAGAACTAGCCAATGGGCCTCCAGCCTGCGCAAGACTCTTGCAGCATGCACGTGCAGATGCACCAGGCCGTCATGCGATGCAACATTTAGGTTTTCTTGCGATATTGGTGCAGACGGAGATAAGACAATTCACCCGGATATAGAATCCCGGTTAGTGATTAAGGAGTTCGATGGGCAACAGACCCGGCCATGACTATCTGTGAGTGCGATGTAGGTCAGTATCCATGGCCTCTCCGACTTCGATGCCGGTCGCTCGGGTGGCCGTGTCTGCTGCTCCGATGGCCTGACCACCCATAGTCCGCATGGTTGTGGCCATGGCCGCGATAAGAATGGTTGATTCGACCCGGATGGCGAGGCTCTGGTTCTCGAATCGGCTCATCGACTTCCACCTCCTCCTCTTCGTACTCGTCGTCGAAGTAGCGCCCAACAATCTCCTTCTCCTTTCGCGCCTCCGCGGCGTCAAAGACGAATCGCTGGGTCCCCTCGCTGGGCGCCCGTTTGCGCTTCACTAAGCTGCTTCCATGCAGCGAAGAATTGGTTGCAGGCGACGTGGTCGAGGCGGGTGTCAGGGACCGGGTGTCCAATAGCTCCGGGGCGCATCGATCACACCAGCCGTGATAGCGCTGATGCTTCTCCTTGGCCACCAGGCTATTGATGCTGATCTTGACATCCATGACTTTGTCGAGGGCGAGTCGAGTTCCGACCTTGGTGGACTTGGGGAACTGCGTGTAAAGGTCCAGCAGATCCAGCATGGTTTCGAGCACGCAAGATCTCTCAGAATGCCAGGCCGCGGCCTTCTTCAAGTCTTTCGTCTTCTCGGGGTCCGTATCCAAGAGGAGTGACGTCAGTTCAATGATGGCGAGTACGAGGGTGAAGCTGGCCTGTTTGATGGGCGCGAAGGTCTTGTAGATGTCAATCGACATGTTGTAGGCGATACGAAGGAACTTTCTGCCCTCCTCCCGAATACGGACGTCCTCGCGCGGAAACATCCTTCTAATCATCTTGACAAGCAGCTTCTGGGGGTATTGGACGCGGAAGTCGAAGCCAATAGTTTCGAGAATATGGCGCTCCAGCCCGACAGTGAACCGGCACGGGACCTCGAATATCTTTGTGCAGCGTCAGCCTTCTGTCGAAATCCAATTATCCCCGAAGGCAGGCTGCCTACCTTGTCATCGGGCGTCTTGTGGTCATGCGGCTGCCTGAGATTGTGTGCGGCACAAAGGATCTCTTTCGACTTCTTGATGGTATCCTCGGCCTTGCAAGCCACAAAGAGGGCAGCCAGCGCGACGTCCTCGTAATTGTATTCGTTACTTGGAAAGCGTACGCGGAACTTGTGGTAGTAGATCGCTGCGGTGTCGAACGTTTTGACAGGCCTGCCAGACTTCGCTGTCAGTGAAATTCGGTCGCCAGGGGTTGGAAGGCGGGGTGAAGGCAGCAACACACAATTGCAGGCTCTGTCGAACGCTATCAATCAACTGAATTCCCTTCAGCCGGTAGCCATCCTCGCGCGCCTCATCGTGGCCAGCGTGCTTCATGCTTTGCCGAAGCCGCTGTTCCGAGCTGTACTGCGAAGGGATTGCCAGCAGGCCCGAGGGGGGCCCGACCAGATTGCTGTCATCAGCAACCGCGCTGGTGGCGGCAGGAATCGGCGGTTGCGCCGGCTGCGGAGCCATGATAAAACTGGCGGCAAGGCCGAGAAGCGAGTGATGCAGCGCACCACCAACCGTTGAGGTGGGCTGAAAGCTCGGATGATCAGGACGGACCAGATAGGTTGGCACCTTAACCAGACTCGTAGAGTGCTTCTCAAGAAATCTGCATTTGGTGTTCGCTGCTTACTGTACTAGAACTCTCTGTAAGAACTCTGCCATGAGGCTGTCAGCAGTGTGGACTGTGCATGGCGGGTTGGCGCAGGTTATTGACTCGACGTGACGTTGATAGCCGATGAGGCATGGATTTGCAACAAGATGGACAAAGTGAGCTGTCGCCCCACAACGGATGCGGCGACATTTCAGGGGGGTTCCACCGCCATTGAGGTGTGGAGCTTTCAGAGCACTGGCCAACGCTTATTTCCATGTTTCCAAGCAGTGCACTAAGTTACTGCACTTGCTGGTGTGAAATCTGACACTTCGAGTCAGTCGAGATTTGTCCCAAGGTACAGACCTTCGGCATTATAAGCCTGGATGAATAATTGCGCGGGATATTACTACGCCACAAGCAATGTGTGAGTGCAACCCTCTCGCACCTATTAGGTCCGCTATCAGTGCAATAACATACCGTATACTCTCGACCTTCTCGTTTTCACTAGCAGGAGCAATCCCTTGTCCAATTAGCCTTCACCCACTATCTCTCGACAGGCATACCTCAGCCAATGGACGCCCTGCTGTGATAAAAGAGAAGGTCAAGATTATCCGGTGTTGTCCGATACTGCATGAGGAATTCGCCTTGGCGCGTCGAGCTCGTGCGATGCAAACGCGTCCAAATGCAAGCATTTTAGCTCCGTAAGTGGCACAACCTCATGATCCATCCTCCGAACTCACCAACACGCGCTTCCTTGCTATGTGGTCAGGGCAGCGGCTAAAGCATTGGGGTTCCCGCGATCGCTGAGATTCCCGTTTTGCTCGTGCTCACTGGGGCCCAGGAAGGGTTCAGCGCCCCAATCACGTTTGAGTCGATCTTAGATGAGATCCGCTCGCATCATCTGGTCGAAGATTCAATTCAAGTGGTGGAAATCAGCCTCGCTACCGCTGTGCACTTCGTCATGCAGCTCGAGACGCGGGAGGTGGCTGCTTTCGGGCCAAGGCCGGGCTGGACTGGAACCGGCAAGGATTTCGAGACGGAGCCGCATCTTGAGAAACGACGGAGCCTAGTATTTGGAGCAAACTCACGGTTGGGAAGGAGATGAATTTTCAGAGGGGCCAAGCTCGAGTTGGGTTGACGCCAGCATTTATCGAGAATGGACTGGAGATGGCGCAGATTATGACGAGAAGGGAACCCAGATTTTGGAGAGGTAACGCCGCAAAACCGCCCGAGAAAGGTCCACCTTTTGGCCCCCCTGAGTCTCCAGTATCGTTCTGCTGCATGGCTTGAATTACTGTGGGCGCCCGATTTGCCGTCGGCGTAGCACAGGTAGGCGAGCAAGAAAAAGAAGGAAGAGTGGAAAGAAAAAGAGGAAGGAGAGACAACATAGGAGGAGGGTGGAATGCGACCGGGCATGCCACGAAATTTGTCCCACCTGCATCTTAACCAGGCCAGGTGCCTAATGTAGGTCTCTTTTGAGAGGCCGGTAGGGTTGCCACATCTGAGTTGTGACTTCCCTGGCCCTGACAGAACAAGACCAATCATCGCCTTATGACTCCGGCTGGCATGCAGCTTGGTCCGCCGATATGACGATTGGACGTGAGAACTCGAATCGACGACTCCCTTACGCTCCCGTCTGCCGATATGATGACCAGCTCCTCTCTGAAAACGGACGACAAAACGGTCTTGCCTGTCGACAAAAAATTTGAAGCTGAAGTCTCGAGTCTGGTTAGGACGACTCCGTCACATTCCCGTCTGTCGATATGACCACCATTCCGAGTCCCTCTAAGGGATACCAAAACGAGTTCGAGCGTCTGAGCCCCCATGGATAAGGGCTACCGCTTGAACGACCAGTACGTTTTGCCGGCATCGCCTCATCACCGGGGTATCCATCGATGGAATTACGGCTAAGTTCGGATCTCGTGGTTCCTGGAAAGAGGAAGCTAAACGAACTCATTATCCAACCTAATCCGCAGGCATTCCGAGTCCTCAGTATCGCATCCGACAATTCTGAGCCTCTAGATGGATTGCGTTGCCCGGGAGGCAGCCTGACCAGGGCCGGGATTTGCTATGGTTCGGAACCAAATCGCAACCAGACATCGCAACCAGACATCGCAACCAGACATCGCAACCCGCCCCTACACTGGACGGCCAGTTGAACAACCCAAATATCCCACATCTCTTTTTAGCGCGCTGACAAGGAACCGGTGGACGACAACCATTATCAACAACCGCCTGCTTCCAAGTCCCGCCTCCCGTGTCAGGTTTCGCAACGCTTGACCGACGGCTGATACTAAGCGTTGAAAAGGTGCTTCGAGCCAGTGCCGTGGCGAACTTCCACGAAGCTTGCTCTTAAACCGAATGCTGGTAGGAGTTGTTTCAAGAAAATGTCCGTTTATGACACCATACGATCGAATTATCGAACAAGGTAGCCGCTGAGGAAGACGACCTTGGTATCCTGCCGATTGTTGAGGATTCGGCTTTGTCCGCCATGGATGCAGACACCCATGCGCCCGTATTTCAGGGGACGGGCTGGTGAGACGGCGAAGACAGCGTGGTTCAACAATCTGCGCTGTCACCCGAGTAGCGAAGGGTGTTGGTGTGGAGTCATTGCGGTGCTGATGCCACTGACTGTTGGATGTCTTGAAAAGCCGAATGACTCCTGGGGTTCCCCGTGTTTTCAGGTTCGTGTCCAATCTCATCAGGACGTGAAGTTCGAGCGGGGCTGACATTGCCATGTATTCCGGTGTGATGAATTACCGCTGTTGTTTCCGCGTGTTGGCTGATAGCTGAGTGGTGAAAAGAAGGCCGCTGCAGGGTTCATTTTCACTTCATGACATTGCCAGCGGGAATATCACAAGTTGGATCGATCACTACTCGGACATATTGGACGAAAGATTGGTGTGGCCATCATCGTCCCTTGACTGTTCGGTATTCGAAGATCCTCCGGGATCCTCCCGGAGGATTCCTAACCCCATCTAGACAGGGGTTGAGAGTGGTACCAAGACCGGCCCTGGTGACCGGCGTCCCCACCACGTTGATGCCATGACCGGGATCGGCCCAATCCCAGTGCCGTGGTCCTGGGAGGGGATTGGAGGGAAAGCGGTTGCGTCTTGAGTGAAACACTTCCTCTCCCATCCTCAATCACATCAAGCCTCCTTTTGCAACGAAACGAAAAATCAGTCATGGCAGCTTCGAATGGAGGTGCTGCCACCAAAGTGGCCATCGTCGGGGCAGGCCTGACTGGACTGCTCACTGCCCACGGGTTGAAGAAGGTGCCCACCTACTCCTTGAATCCTTGTGTCAGGGCCTCATAGGCTGATTTTGGGTCAGAATGGCTTTGACGTCGTGGTTTTTGAGAGAGCGCTTCACATCGCGGACCGGCCTCGCGACTGGACGATCCTCATCCATTGGGCCATGCCACTCTTTAAGAAGCTGCTTCCCGAGCACGTCGTCGAAAAGCTGCCCGAAGCGCTCTGCAACCCGGCCCTCACCTATGACGAGGAAGCCGAGAGCCTTCCGGTCTACAACGGCGAGACGGGCGAACTACTGTTCAAGAACCGCCTGCCCGGTGCTCGGCGAGTGTCACGCCAGAGGCTTCGCGCCGTGCTGGCTAAGGACCTGGACGATACGGGGATCATCCGGTGGGGTAAAAGGCTAACTGAGTTGTGTCACGACGGCGAGTCTGGCCCTGTGCAGCTGCGGTTCGAGGACGGGTCTACGTTTGAGGCCGACTATGTGCTCGGGACCGACGGCTCGTCGTCAAAGGTGCGCGAACTGTTGTTCAACGGCGATGAGGCGGCACGCGTGCATTTGTCGGGGTACATGTTCGCGACGGCTATTGTGCGGTACGGCGATGCAGCCAAGGTGGAGGAGGTTCTGAAAGCGCACCCAGTTGCAGCGATCACCATGGCGATGGATTCAGTGGGCGGTTGTGGCGGCAAGTGCTTCTTCCTTGAAAAGCTCTTGGTGAAATCGCATTGCTGACCACTGCTGCTTCGCAGTGATGTATGCGGACACCCCGGAAGAGTTGGGCAAGTGGACGACGTTTTGGGTCAAGATTTGGCGTAAAAGCGTAGCACCTCTGCCCGAGGGAGTGGGCGTTGGCGACAAGGCTCTTGAATATTTGAAAGCGACCACGAAAAACCTGGCCGAGCCTTTCCAGTTCTTTATCGACTGGTCGCCGGATGGCAGCGAATGCTACATTGACGAGATGAAGTACTGGGTGTCGCAGCCCTTCGATAATCGCGGCGGCCGCGTCACGCTGGCTGGCGACGCTGCCCATCCAATGCTGATTTACCGCGGACAGGGCTTCCAGCATGCGATTCTCGACGCAAGCCAGTACCTCGATGCGCTCATCAAGGTGCACGAGGGCGCAGTTACCAGGTTGCAGGCCATCTCGGCCTACGACGCCGACATGGTTGAGCGGGGCGCCAAGGCTGTGCAACAATCACTGCAGGAGGCCGAGTTTTCAATGGACCCTAAGACAGTGCACAAGATGCTGATGGCGAGACAAGGGCACGCGAGGTCTGCGTGACCCGAGTACCTACGCATTTCTGGACTTCAGGGCGTCCTGCCATATTGTCACCAGTTCAGATCCAATTGGATGTTGACGACTGCAGTATCCCGACTGTTCCTTGCTGCTGTGCCTTGTTCTTCAGGGGTGGAGCCGCCATATTCCGAGCCATGGCACGCTAATTCACGTGGCCTAGCGAGATTTGGAAATGCAACCGACGAGTTCAGCCCGCAGACTCGGGAAGGCAACCTGCACCAGAAGCCACAAATACAACAGATCGTGCATCGAGGGCCGTCGATTCTTTTGCTGCACTGTCAACAATGCCCGACAACGACCCGCCTCGGTCGAGTCCCGACAAGGAAGGGATCGACGGCGGTGCGCCGAGCGACGCAAGCGGCGACAGAAGCTCCGCAAGCGTCCCGAACCGCGACCCAAGCCCCGCTTCTCCCGAACCGCAACCCACAACAAGCCCCACCACACTCACCGGTGGCCCCGCCGCACGCCCGCATGCCATGTTCCACGAAGAGGATCATGATCAGGAGGCAGCAGACGAGAGGTCATCTGTCATCGTCCCGGCCGGGGACGACCACGTCCCGGACGAAGACGAGTTTGCGCTGACCGATGGTTACGAGACGGCATCGACCGGGTCGACAAGCGTAACGTCGTCCATATACGCCCATACTATCGAGAATGGTCGTCGCTATCAGCACTTCAAGAATGGCCGCTATCCGATTCCCAATGACGACGAAGAGCTTAATCGCGAGGACATGAAGCATGCCATGATGCTGGAGCTGTGCGACGGCAAGCTGTTTTACGCTCCCATTGGCGCGAACCCCCAAAAGATTTTAGACATTGGCACAGGCACCGGTGAGTTAATTTGCTGGCTTGGTTTGAGTCAGGCTGAGTCCACCTTGGACTGTGTACCGTAGCCTAGGCACCACAACTGACAGCACGCGGAACCCCGTACTTAGGCATGTGGGCGATCGAAATCGGTGACCTGTTCCCAACCGCACGCGTCCGTGGTATCGACCTGTCCCCCACACAGCCCGTCTGGGTCCCCCCAAATGTCGATTTCCTCGTCGACGACTGCGAGCAAGGCGACTGGCTGGACCATGATGTCGACTTTGTTCACTTTAGGTTCATGACCATTGTACTCCGAAACGTCCCGAAGGTGCTAGACAATGCATACAGGCAAGTTCATGGACATATTATAACCCATGTAAACCAGCCGCTCCAAACTTGCACTGACGCTCCCGTAGAAGCCTCAAGCCCGGCGGCTGGATTGAGCTCCAAGAACTCTGCGCCGAGGTCCTCTGCGACGACAACACCATGCCCGACAACGATCCGGTCAAGTACATGTACGAGCTCTCTCACCGTGCCTTCTCCATGTTTGGCATGGACGTGACGCTGCCAAAGAGCCTGGAACCTTTGCTGCGCGATGCCGGGTTCAAGAACATTCAGTGTGTCGTCAAGAAGGTGCCCATTGGCCCCTGGGCACGCGACAAGACCTTGCGTCTCATCGGCATGTACCAGAGGATGGCGGTTCAAGACCTGATGCCTGCCCTCCCCGGCCGCCCTTTCCAGGCTCTCGGCCTATCGCAGACCGAGAGCCAGGTCACACTCGCCCATGCCAGGTCCGGGTTGGCCAATTTGAGCGTGCATCGGTATTTCCATTACTATTTCTGGTTTGCGCAGAAGCCGGAATGATGGCCGTGAAAGACCGTTTTGAGTCGGGCTCGATGAACGAAGCGGCGAGTGCTAAGTTTGGGACTTTTGGGAGGTCAAGTTCACGGTGAGTTGACCAGGGGCGGTTCGGCGCAGAGGCGCTGATGCTTTGGAGTACATGCGTGGATCACTGTTGGCTAAGCTTCTTAATCAAAGATAATGGGGCTTGCTGGAGTGAAGCAGCACCGTTTTGGGCAATCCTCCAGGCGGTACACACCACAAAAGGCTCCCATTCCGGAACGGCAACAAAGGAAGACTCCAAAGAGGTCCCCGTGTTTGCCACACCCTTGTAGCCCGACACTCTAGTTTTGTCCTTCCCGAATGGTTTTCAAAAGACAAATCCATCACTCTCTCGTGCTCTCCACGTCCTAATAACACAGCATCATCCTGTACCTTAATTTCACTATGAGCAACCAACTCCCCTCGAACATCCCCTCTTGGGATAGCCGGCAGTCATCACCGTGGCTCTGTAAATTCGGCGGCCATGCGCGCTCGGTGCTCAACAACCCAAGGGAGCCCCTCGCCCACTTTGGACTTGCACCGCGCATCCCCGACCTGCACCCAATCTTCTACGCTGAAGACAATGAGTACTTCAGAAACCTGGCGCCTTTTGCAAAGCCCTCGGACTACGAGCTCGACATGCTGTTCGCGACTGAGGACGCCCAGCAGAGCATGAACGGCGGCCTGACGACCTGGGAGCTCGCCGTGCTCAATGAACGCCTTGTCAATGGATGGCCAGGGGGCCATCGTCAGTCGGACTCAATCACGCCACGTTTACTGGACTACAATGGGCTGGGTACTCAAGTGGACGAGAGCAGCTGGCACCCGGCCTTTCGGAAGACCAAGTGGTATGATTTCCGCGTGCCCATTGTCGACGGCAAGTTCACTCGCCATGCTGTGCCGGGCATCACAGCCACGGATGTCTGGAGCGTCGATGTCCCGGCGGTGTGGAAGGAACTACGGGAGCCGATTGAGCTTGCGAACCGCTGGTTCCGCCACATGGTCACAGGTTCCTGGTTAAACAACCTCTGTTGGGAGACCAGGACCGAATGGATGGAGGCAGAGCCAGCCCCTGGGGACTTCCACAGCTATCCGGACCCGCTGGGGCCCAACAGGAAGCCGTACAGGGTTCCAAGCAGGCACAACCATTGCGACGGCGAGAGGGTGCTCAAGTATGTCGCGGAGAAGGTGGCGCCGCTCCTGATTTGGACGTTTATCGATGATTTCTACCATATTCACGACTCCGCCAATGAGACAGACCAGTATGGCCGCACCGCCAGGGAGTGGGACGGTGGGGTTGAGCCCAAGGAGGACACACCCCCTGCTGAGAGACCGGCGCCATTCATGACGACGTACATTCATGTGAAACCTCTCCGAGTCTATTGGACCCGAAGACAACCTTGTCAGAACGCTGTCATGCCAAGTGGTCGCTCGCTGTGACGGTAAGCTGTACCTTGTTTTTCGGTACCCAGTAAAATTTGCTAACCCTGCATTTAGCTGCTGCACGAGTTAATAGTAAGGCACTTGTCATCCTTGAGTCAGTATCCCGCCGAAATATTCACGATGCTAATGCCCTACATAGCATGCCATCAACCTCTCGAGGCACATTCATGAAATTGATATCCCTCCTGAGCCTGTAAGTATATCAAATTGCTTCTATCTCCTTCGTATCGGAGTCCACAAACTGACCTCATCTGCTAGTACTACGACGAAGAGTGGTATATTGCCCTTATCCCTGTCATTGCTTCATGGGCTCTGGAACTCCCATCTCACTTGAAACGGGTTGGTCATGGTGCTCCTGGAATTTCCCAGCGTTTACCTAGTCCCCTCCGTTGGCACCTCGAAGAAGCCCAGCAGGACCCTTACTAACGCCGAACCAGGGACAGAGAAATTGGCTGCTCCGGCATCAAGAGCTTCTTCGGCACCGAGTTCCTCGAAGCCCCCTTGGCTGACACTTTTGGCAAAAGCGGTTACAAGTACGGCCTGAGCATGAGGGAGTGGCCGTCCATCCATTGATTCGCTCACCTCGGTCAATAATCAGCCTGTCCTATGGCTCGGCAAAGTCAGCACAACCTCTGCTATCCCTGCTGCCTGGTTATCCTCGATCCTCCTCGAGTCCTTTTACAGCACCCAAGTCCGACGCTATGGCCTCGCCGCCTTCCACCCCCCGCGCCTCTTTTCCTGCGAAAATGTCTACCGCGGCTTCTACACGGAGCAGCGCCGTGCCCGTCTCCTCCCAAACACACCCCTCAACACCATCCACGCCACCGACGCCAGCATCACCAACGAAATCACCAGCTCCCTCGCCGACTTCCAAGCCCGCCGCGCCCTCTGGTCCCGCCTCCGACCATGGTACGGCCCGGCCCACCGGCGCTGGCTCCACACACCCTACTCCAACACGGCCGCCCGCGCCATCGTAGACCGCTTCACCGCCGCGGCGCACCCCGCCCGCCGCCTGACCGAAGCCGCGGCCCAGCTCGCCGAGAACGAGGGCCACCTGGCCCAGAGCGGCATGTACTACTGGTTGTGGCTGCACCATATGCGGCAAGGGATCGACGCACCCTTCCCCCCGCGCGACTGGGTGTTCATCGTGCTCGCGTTCATGATGCAGGCCGTGCTGCCTGGTCGGCGGGAGGGCGTCGGCTTGCCGTATCCCTTCTCGCGGACGGTTGAGAATACGTGGTTCCCAAGCCAGGCGGCCGAAGAGGCGGGGAACGGGCGATGGCGTTTTGTGGAGAAGAGGGAGGTGTATCCTAAGCCGAAACCGGTTTATATGCTGGGGCCGAGGCATTTTGATGGTCATGTTGTAGAGCGGAATGAGAATGGGGAGGTGGTGAAGTATCTGGGGAATCGGCAGTGGCTGTTGGAGCGGGCGCTGGACGAGAAGCAGCGCTGGGAGAGCGTGGAACCGGTTTCGCGGCCGTTGGCGGACGCGTTGGAGAGGGAGTTAGCGTCGCTGTTCCAGCAGGATGCTTTTGAAAAGGACGAAGAGGACTGGATGAATTGGAGGTTTGCGTTCCCTGAGTATAGTGACGAGTCTGGTCACGACAGATCACGCGGGGAATTATGTGCCGTGGCATGAGGTTGCGCTGGGTAGCTCTGCTGCCCAGGCACAGGGCCATGCGCATAGGGCGCAGATTGTTCGCCGGAATAAGGATCTGTTAAAGGATCCGGCTTGGTCGCCGAGGACGAAGTACGTCACCGTGTCCGAAGTTGGGGCGAAGAAGTCGATTACCCGGACCGGGACAAATTGGGCTTTGTTGCCTGATGACCAAGGAGGGTATGATGTCTTTGACGTCAGCCGTGAGTTTCCCGTCGTCTATCATAGAAGGCTCCCTGGCTAACCATGTCCTAGGTATCTTGCGGAACGACCCTGGTATAGACGTCGAAACGTTCTTTGAGATGACGGAGGTCGGTCGCCAGATCGTCTCGGAGCGGATTGTGGAAGCTCTGAAAGCCAAGAGCCAGAAGCCGCTTGGCAAGCTCTTGACTTGGAAGCGTCCAGAGGTAGTCTCTGAGCATGACGGACAGGATGGCCGCGAACTGTGGTGTGTCATTGGGAGCCTTGTCTACGACATCACCAGTGAGTTAATGAGTTTGCCCGCTGATTCTTTCCACATGAAGTTGACTGAGAGCAGACTTCCATTTCCGCTCGGAGGCTGAATGGGATGCCCTCATCGCGGTGGCTACCGGGGAAAAAACCCCAAGCAGAAGCCTTAGACGCCGCCGATGTCCCCAACCTTCTCAGACGTTTAGCCCTGTACAAATGCGGCTTTCTCAAGCAGGCAGCCGGTCTCCCGCCAGGGGATCGACCATTCACTCTGCGAGAACTGGGAAGATACATTTACCCAGAAATCGGCATGTACTGTGCCGTTGGTGGCGTGGTTCTCGATCTCGGGCGTGAGTACTGAAGCAACATTTGGCCGGTTTGTGCTTTGTTGACTCCCGCCAGGCTACCTTGAGTCCCACCCCGGCGGTTCAGAGATACTCCGTCAATACGCAGGCCGCGACCCTAGCATGGAATTTGAGCAATTCCACTCTGACTGGCGACTCACGCTGGAAAAGCACGAGCATCTCAGGGTAGGGTGGATCGTCCACGACATGCTCGATCACAGGCAGAACGACATCAAGCACGACGAGGTTGTCCTCCTGGACCGGGCCTACGATATCTACAATCGTTAGTATCCCTTAGCGAAATACGTGTTCCTCCAGAACCAATACCCCTGCTAACAATGAAACCAGTCACCCGCGACGACAGTAAAGAGTTTTCAACGCCCTGCTGCCCTACGCCGGCACCGACGCGACTGAGGCGCTGAAGGACGAGGCCGCACCAGAGGCGCTTCGCCAGCTCTTGGCCAGGGACGACCTTGTTACCGCGAAGCGGACTCGCGGAATCAGACGGATCGCAGCGTCTGAGCTGCAAAACCATCACCATACAGGGTTCTGCATCTATCTACCTAAGTAGATTTCGAATCTACTAGTGGATAGAAAGCAGTGCTTTCAATCCACTCTATGCTGACTGTTGCCAAGC